GCACGCACACACACACACACACATACACACACACACACACACACACACAAATACACACATAAAGAAATATGTAACCAAATATACTGGTTCAATAATCGTATCAATGTCGATGACGCTGCTGTGTTGTACACCTCTAATGCTCTCTCTCTCTCTCTCTCTCTCTCTCTCTATATATATATATATATATATATATATATATATATATATATATATCACACACATACACACACATACACACACAAACACACACACACACACACACACACACACACACACACATACACACACACACACACTCAGAGGGATCGTCGAAGAGGTGGTCGAGATCATATGAGTCAACCTACTTATATGTCTCTTGAGTGCTACCACCTCTTCGACTCTGTCTCTCTCACATCTAAGTTGTTATTCAACCCAAGGGAAAAGGTGGGCTAGGGATTCTGGGTTGTGTCATACAGATCACGACATTGACAATACAATGGATCAAGAGACTTATATTTACTCCCCTCCTTTCGTGGCGTGCCATGGCCTTGGAACAGATCACAAGATTGGCCCCCCAGGCCCCCCTAGAGGTGGATCCCCTGTCCTGGTTAGAGGACTGTTTTAGGACTATTCCATCACATTCTAAGACCCACAGGGAGTCTGATCGAGGAATGGCCAGAACGGACTTGACCAAGGACGACTTCTGCGTCAAGGGTCTGGGCGCATAGTGCCAACTCCCGCTGCCTGACAAAGGGTCACTAGACAGATGGGAAGAGGTGGCGAGACAGCTGCTTTTCGGCAATATGTGTGTCACTGACCCAAATGGGAGAGTATATTGTAGCTCTATTCCCCCGTGGAATTGTGGGGTGAGAAGAGGTGTAACAAGAATTAGGGACATATGGGATACTGACGAAAGAAAATGGAAAACTGCACAAAAATTGAGGTCCAACTTGAAGCACTGTCATCACATTGAACAAAATCTGAACCAATTAATCTTCTCTATTCCCCTGGACTGGGTGCGCATCTTTCGAAGGGGGCCGACATTCCGGAAACGAGACTGGTTCGCAACGACGGGGGATAGTGGGAATGTAGGTAGGGTGATGGAAATACGAGAGGAGGAAGTGTTGGAAACCCTCTTCCACCGAGGATCGGAGAATCGTCTCGTAAGGCATTCGCACGATGAGAAGAGAAGGTGGCAGAAGGTGGACTCGTTCAGAATTAGGGTAGTGAGGGAACAAGAGGAATGGGTAGCTTTGCTCATGGAAATCCCGCTTACCAAACTCCCCATTGACTTGCTAGAATGGCAATGGAACCCGTCTGGTAGGATCAGATCCGGAAAAATCAAGAAATTGTTCGATCTGTTTGTGAAAGCTACGTATCGGCTCCTCGGACCTCGGGTTGATCTTAAGAGCACAGTGTGGGAGCACTGGATGTCCCATCTGAATGTGGGAAGGGACTGCCTCCGCCCCATCCACTGGTTCACCACCACAAAGGCCAGACCAGCAAAGATGGCCTCCCTACAATGGTAGATAGAACACCGCTGCCTCCCCACAAGTGATTGGTTGATTGATCGAACATATTTGGAATAAAAGGGTTTAGCCACACCATGGTGCACGTAATGTCCGACTGTCTTTCCTACCCGCAAGATCCCTTGGACTATAGAGCACATTTTCCTACAATGTGCAGGGGCGATCCTCATTTGGCGCCAGTGGGATAGGATTTGGACTCTTGGAGGTCACTGGGCACAGAGTCTGAATGGCCTTGGGACTGGAGAGTGCTTCTGTGTGAAACATAGCCCCCCCCCACGAACAACATTTTTGAAGAGAACATGTTCAAACTCAAGAGGAGGGTCGTTATTTGGGCTCTTTGGAGAAAACGGTGCATATTATGTATTGAAAAAGTAAGATTAGAGGACAAGGAAATGACTTAGCTAATCAAACACGATGTTCAGGATGAACTCACAATACAATGGCAATCAATGAAAGCTAAACTGTATCAAACTTGTACCAAAAAGGACATAACACAGGCTATCGAGCAATTCTCAAGGGATTGGTTGGGAAGTGACCAAGGGGGTAAAGTAGCTTATGTCCGTTGGGAAGGAGGCAGTCTCCCAGAATGCGGAGAAGAGTATAATATGAGACGAGATTACATCATCTGCTTTAATGATTAGACAAAGGTGGATGCAGCAATACCGTTGCGCTCCCCCTTGGACTTCTGCGACCCCTTTCCGCCTCATGGTCTATCAATGGTGGATCTCCAGTGGTATGGACTAGGGTGAGGGAGAGGTAGGCACAGCGAAGGTTGCAACTACAGGAAGAAGGGGGATAGATGGTCACACAGTTCGGGCGCCCAGCAGCAGGGCTGAAGAGACCCCCTTCTCCTCCCTAGTTGAGTGCTCACCCACCTGCTCAGTCAATCCCCTCTGTCGAGGGTAATCACTGCTGGTTGAAAGGCCTTCCACGAATCAGGCCCCAAATTCGGATCTCAGGATCAGAGGCCCTGGTTAAAAAAAGGCCGAGTTCGTCAAATTCAGAAAAGTCACAGTCAGGTACCTCAGCAGTCTAGTTCAACAGACGCCCAGCAAACAGACACATCTTAGGGGCAAGAGTCACGTCTCATAAAGAAAAGTCATATTGAACAGTCACATCCCATGAGTAAAAGGGAAGATCCACAGGCAGGAGTCGTGTCCTAGAAGCAGGGGTCACGGTCCAAACTCAAAAGTCATGTTCACAAATGAAAAGTCATGACTTAAATAGATGGACCCCCCCCAGGTGCTTGCGGTGTGCTCTTACCAGCACCACTAGCACCGACGGGTGCGTTTAAAAAAAAAAAAAAGGCCCAAGCAGCAGCGGTCCAATGGAAATTCGGGAAGGTTGCAGCCCTTGACATTAAGAAGTAAACAGGCCATGTGGATGTGGAACCGGAACCATTCAGGCCCCAGAAAACAAAGGCTGGCACGAGTTGAAGTGCGTTCTAAGACCACAAAAGGACTGGTCAGCCCACCATTCGGGCAGATTGCTCATTTGCAAGAAGTGTTGGTGCATTTGTGCGCTGATGTGAGGGATAGAGCGCTGAAGCCAGCGTGCTGGACTCTGAGAGAGAGAGAGAGAGAGAGAGAGAGAGAGAGAGAGAGAGAGAGAGAGAGAGAGAGCGTTGGCAGGGAAAAGGCAGCCATAGCTGCGCCAACGCACGGTGTTAATGTTAGTAGATAGCAGTAGACTACAGAGGGGTTAGTAGAGTTGAAAGTAGGTGTATTCAGAGTAGTTATTTGAGAAGAAGTTAGTGTGTGTGTGCATGCATGTAGGGAGAGAAGATACAGCGTGGTCATAGCTAAAGAGAAGACCAGCAAGGAGGGGGATACAACAGAGAGAGAAGAGCGGAGAGGAAGAAGATACTTACTTGGGTGATTATGTTGGATGTTTGGTTGCCCGTGACATGCGTTGTTGTGCACCGGTGACTAGGAACTCTTATTGCTCTTGTTATAACTGGTTGAAATTCATAAGTTGCGCTATCTGGTCTCAATCTCGTTGGTCTCCAGTGTGGACTACGTGTGAACTCATACATGCATATGGTGTGAATATGTGCGCTCATTGGTGTTGAACTTGGAGGTTCATTGCAACCTGGTATCGGAGCGGTTGCTCGTTACACCATTGGACATCGATGGCAACGATTATGGCCGGCGAGGAGGGAGATAGGAGAGTGAGTTGAGTGGGGAGAAGATTGACGAAGGGGGGAAGAAGAAAGTCAAAGAAGGAGTGATTGGTACCCTCCCAACCTTGGTGCCGCTGCTACTGGGCTGGTCTAAATTGTCACATACTCGATCTGCATTGAGTCCAAAACCAGTCCGTGCATTCAATATATATACATATATATTGACGATATATATATATATATATATGTGTGTGTGTGTGTGTGTGTGTGTGTGTGTGTGTGTGTGTGTGTGTGTGTGTGTAGTTTTGGGGAGAAGATTGACGAAGGGGGGAAGAAGAAGGCCGAAGGAGTGGCTCGATTACGTACCTGTTGCTGCTGCGTTGGAGCGTTGAAGCAGCCGAGGAGCTTCATCAAAGGAACGTTCACTGGAGTGAAGTGCATCCCCTCATTAAAACCTGTATTGCATAATGACTTGTCTTGGCGATTGGTACCTTCCCAACCTTGGTGTCGC